TCTTGATTTGACAGATGGAAAAGGTATTCCACAGCTCAGTTTATTCAAATCACCAACTAGAGGGTAGATGCGGAAGTGTGAAAGTGATAAGAATGGTAAAATTTGCTATGGCAAACCTGAAAATCAAAATAGAGCCATCAAACTACAATTTTATATTGCACCATAAAGTGTTCATGTGAATTGCCTTGATTGATTGATTGATAGGAACGAGCACTTCAGTAATTTGTGTTTTCGAACTGACCAGGGGCGGCGCCAGGAATTCTGCGACGAGGGGTCCAATCTCCCCGACAAGGGGGTCCACGCCTTCCCCCCGCCGGAGAAGCTAGCCCCAATCCCACCCGTCGGGGAAAAAATTAATTTGTCGGGGAAAAATTGAATTTGTCGTGAAATTTTTTTTAAAATTAAAAGATAATAAAATGATGTGTTAATTGTAGGGGGTGGGTCCAGAGTTCATTTCCCCCGGACCCACCGCTAGCACCGCCCCTTTTCTCAGCAGTACACGTCACTTACCTTTTCAGTGTACTCATTCTTTGGTACTGCATCGCCAATGAACAATTCAGCATCTAGACCCTTCTCGATGACGTCAGTGGGCGTTTCAGTAATTACGGACATGATTTCTTCGTTAGTCTGTGCAGTTCCATTTACCATTATTATGACTTCCACTTTACTCACAGGTTCTCTAGATCGTGAGAAAAAACGAACCATGTTTATTGACTAATTGGCAAATCTCATTTCCGAAATTCATTAATGTTCATTTTTTTAGACTTATTTTTTTACAAAGAATTTCTTCATCCTTTGTTTATACCTGATAATTTTTGTTTTAGTCGGTAGGTAGTCATGTTTTACAATTTTCTTTAAAATTGTAGAATGAGATTCAACTAATGCGCAGTTGCAAAATGCTATTTTAGATTGGATAGGCACATTAGTGTTTGGTTTATCATACCCATGGTATAGTTAGGCCTATGTATATGTTGCTTTTGAAATCACATCTTTGCATAGAAAGTGTAACTATTTTTTCTGATTTCTCAACACAAAGATGCTTGACTTATACCCTGTATCGACCGAAACATAATCTTCTACAGACAACACAACAACTTCAACCTCGTCAGTTGACCCTGAGGAGAAACTGTACAGTTCGGCGATATCGTCTGCAAGCTGACTTTTATCAGAAACACTTCCCGACATGTAGAATACAAACGCTGATGTAGCAATTACTAATAAGAACGAACAGAATTATATTTCTTAATAATTTCAGTAAAATAATGTCAATGTGTCACAAAATAACGGCGAAGTATATATTTAATTATATTTAAAAAGTCGCCGCTTACCTATTTCACATCGTTCACCTGCATAATCTTTAGTACACCTGCACGTGTA